AGATACCTTAGTATCCTCTTCACTGCTGCTAGATGTGATACCTTTGGCTTCTGCATGAATCTACTTACCATACCTACACTGTATGCTAAGTCATGCCTTGTATGACAAAGGTATCTCAATGATCCAATAAGTCTTCTGTATTGGGTTGGATCAACATCATCTTCATCTGCATCTTTCGACAATTACAGTCATGGTTCTGCAGGTGTCGAAGTTGAGTTGCATTCTTCCATCTCAAACCTCTTGAGAATTTCTCCTGCATATCTTCTTTGATGCATCATCAAACCTCTATTGCTATTGTAGAATTCGATACCAAGGAAATATGAAATCTCACCCAATCAGACATTTTGAATTCCTTGCTGAGATCACCTTTGAAGTATTCCATCTCACTCTTGCAGCTACCTGTTATCAACAAATCATCTACATAGAGACATAGTATAAGCAGTTTACTCTTGCTTCTTCTTACATATACTCCATGTTCAGTTATGCACTTCACAAATTCCTTCTCCCTTAGAAAACTATCAATTTTCTTATTCCAAGCCTTGGAGCTTGTTTCAATCCATACAGGGTTTTATGTAGCATGTACACCTTTCTTTCTTCGTCATGTTTCACAAACCCAACTGGTTGTTTAACATAGACTTCTTCATCTAAGGGTCCATTTAGGAATGCACACTTCACGTCCATCTGACATATGTGCCAACTGTTGATTTCTGCTAGACCAACAACCAACCTGATTGTTTCGATCCTAGCAACAGGTGCAAAGACTTCGTCGAAGTCTATTCCTTCTTTCTGTAGAAATACTTTCGCCACAAGTCTTGCTTTGTGTCGAGTTACTTCACCTTTCGAATTCGTCTTCACTTTGTATACCCACTTGACATCAATTGCCTTCTTGCCTTGAGGCAATTCGACAAGTGACCAAGTGTTGTTATCTTCGATAGACTTTACTTCTTCGTTCATTGCTTTCACCCACTTCGAATCCTTTAATGCTTCAGCTGCATTAACAGGTTCGACATCTGCATATAAAGCATAATGTACCAGCTCACCTTCATTATCTATTACATCATCTGATGTAATCACACAATCTTGCAATCTTGCAGGTATGCGTCTTGTTCTTTGAGGTCTTCTTGTACTTGGTATATCTGTTGGTTCCTCTTGTCGAACTTCTCTTTCGACTTGAGTTTCTGGCTCTTTGAATAAGATTCCCACTAAATTTTTCTTGACATTTGCAGTCCAATCCCATTCTTTAAACTCATCTATGATCACGTCCCTGCTGATCACAATCTTCTTGTTCTTTGGATCGAACAACGTGTAGCCTCCTACCGAATGATATCCAACTAGGATCATTTGACTTGACTTGTCATCAAGTTTTCTTCTCAACTGATCTGGCACATGTCTATGTTCAATAGATCTAAATACCTTCAGATGACTTAATCTAGGCTCCACACCAGACCAACATTCTTCTGGAGTAATTCCTTCTAGCTTCTTTGTAGGACATCTGTTCAAAATATAAGTTGCAGTCGAAACAGCTTCACCCTAGAACTCTTTAGGTAAATTCTTGCCTTTCAACATACTTCTCACCATATTCATGATGGTTCGATTTTTCCTTTCTGCAATTCCATTTTGCTGTGGATTATAGGGTGGCACAACCTCATGCATAATCCCTTCCTTTTCACATAATCTGTCGAAGCCTTTCGACACATATTCTCCACCACAATCAGTTCTCAAAACTTTGAGCTTTTGACCACTTTGTCTTTCGACCGTGGACTTAAACTTGGTAAATACTTCGATCACTTCACTTTTCTTGTTGATCAGGTAAGTCCATAGCTTTCGACTAAAATCATCTATGAATGTAACAAAGTATTTGTTACCTCCCATCGAATCCACCTAGATTGGTCCACATACATCAGAGTATATGACTTCGAGACTAGCCTTCGATCTGCTTCCTGCATCCTTGCTGAAGCTATTCTTGTGTTGCTTTTCCTGCACACATTCTTCACATACTTCGTTTGGAATGTCAATTTCAGGCAATCCTGAAACCATATTTCTTCTCTTCAAGTCTCTGATGTCTCTGAAGTTGAGATGACCCAGTCTATAATGCCATATCCATTCATCTCTGCTAGCTGCAGTCGAAAGGCACTTGTGCTCCATCACATTTAGTTCAATCTTGAAGGTTTGATTCTGAGACATAGGAGCCTTCAAGATTACTCTCCCATTTGTATCAACAACTCTCATCAACTTATCTTCGATTGACACTTTATAATTCTTTTTGACCAACTGCCCTATACTGAGCAAATTGCTCTTCATGCCTGGTATGTATAATACATTCGAAATTATTGACTTCTTGCCATCTTTCCTCATGATCATAACATCACCAACACCTTCAGCTGCTAGGGTGTTGTCATTTGCAAATTTTACCATATTTTTCGTTGAGGGTTTTATATTGACGAACCAGTTTTTCCTTCTAGACATATGTGATGAACATCCTGAATCCAAGTACCATTGGTCCTTGAATCTATCTTCATCTTTTGTTGTGACCATCAGCATCATCTCTTCTTCTTCTTCATGTTTTGCAAGCTTTCCATCACTTTCTTGATTCTTTCGTTTTTCTGGACAATCACTCGAATAGTGTCCATATTTTTGACAATTGTAACATTGAATGTGACTCTTATCAGGTTTTTGACCACCACCTTTTCCTCTGTTTGCAGCACCACCTCTTTGGTTTCCTTGGTGTGGTCTTCTTTGATTCGACACGTCTCCTTCGATTTGGTTTCCTCTACCATTCGATTTGTTGTAGCCAACTCTACTTCTGTCGAAATACTTTCCTTTGCCTTTGGTCTCTTTTGTTGAATGTGCCTGTAAGGCCACATCACTCTTTGATTTTCATGCAGCTCTTTCGTTCATTCTTTGTTCATGAGATTCAAGCGTCCCTTGAAGCTCTTCCTTTGTCAATTTCGACAAGTCTTTCCCCTCTTCGATCGCCACCACTATGTGGTCGAACTTAGGAGCTAAAGATCTCAAGATCTTCGAAACAACAACTCTTGTTGTTAATGTTTCTCCACATGCCTTGATTTGATTCACTAGTTTTGTAACTCTAGTGAAGAAATCATATATGTTTTCACTGTCTTCCATCTGAAGCAGTTCATAGGTCCTTTTGTGAGTTTGTAACCTCACTTCTTTCACCTTCTCAGCGGCTCCAAAATACTTCTCAAGGATCTCCCAAATTTCTTTTGCAGATTCTGAATCACTAATCTTTTCGAAATTGTTTGGGCTGACACATTGATGAATTATAAATAATGCTTTATAACTCTGCTTCTCAGATTCTGTATATTTCTTCTTTTCTTCTTTTGAAGCGTTTTCGTCAAGCGCTTCGACTCCATCTTTTACAAGGTCCCAAAGGCCTTGACACCTTAATAGAATTTTCATCTATTTGCACCAATTCTCATAGTTGTCAACTTTCAGAATTGGCAGCGTTGCTGGATAGTTTGCATTCCCATAACTTGTCATCGTGAATTCTTCAATCGTTCTTGATTGACACTTCCCTTGAATCGAAACACAAGCTCTTGATACCAGATGTTGGAAATCTACCAATATTCTATGATGAATTTCGACCACCACTAATGATTAGTTATGAGACAAACAAAGAAAAGACAATAGAGATATTTTTGCAGAGTTTCTCTCTGCCCACAAACTGTGGAAATTTTATTATTCACTTTACAACTGTCAAATACTGTGAATTACTTAATTACAAAATAGGGGTTACTCCCTCTATTTATAGATTTAGGTTAGTTACTTAATTACAAAATAGGGGTTACTCCCTCTATTTATAGATTTAGGTTAGTTTGCTCCTTAAGCCCAAAATATCTTTTTACTAAATCAAATCTAATCAAATCTATTCTATACTTAAATTCAAATCTATTTAAATCTAATTTTGACACATATGAATTACAATTTAACAAATATAACACCTTTTTCCCATGATTTAGCTATTCTTTCTTCTTCCTCTTAGGATAGGGTGAGTTCTGGACATTCATAATCTCTAATCATTTTCTCAACAATCTGAATACTCCCTTTTTCCCCGGCACAATCCTCCATCTCTTCTTGATTCATCCCTTCCAAGTTGCTTGCTCTTAACGTTTATCCCACTACCATTTGTTTGAAAGAAGGTACTCCTAACAGACCCGTCACGAAATTGGCCAAAACTTCCGAGAGGTGTTGATAACAACTTCTTCTTTTCCTTTGATTTTTTTTTGTGCTACATTTCAATTGATCTTCTTCTTCAGTGAAGTTTTCTTGGTTTGCAGAGACAAATCCTAGCAGAGGGTATATTTCTAGTTTATTCATTTTAGTGTTTTTTTAGCATATAATTTTATATTTGAAAATATTTTTATGAATATATCATTTTTCTTATATTTTTCATCCAATCATGGATACATTTTTCTTTTCTCTTCTCCTCTTTAAACAACTAAATCAATATTTGTCATTCTATTTACTTTCTTTCGTTTTCTCTTACTAACCAAACATAGTATTAGGGTTGGCAGAAAAAGCTTGGGCGGTGGTACGATTAGTTTTGTAAATCAATTATTTAAAGCAGGATTTTTCCACAGATATATTCGTTTTGTTTACGGCAAATTGTGCCCGCAGTCCCTCTAATTGGTACAGTTTAAAATGTTTTTCTTCTGTATTTTTCTCTTGTTGTCTGTTGCCATGATAACGTAGTTCTCTTCGTTTTTGGCTGTGTATGCTTTTCATATAATATCAACGCTTTTCCCATTAATTGGAATCGGAAACAACACTATGCGCGGTTGCAACGTGATTTTTGATTGAGAGGAGTTCTAAATACAATGTTTTTGTTTCTTTTTCTTTCTATATCCATAATCATGATGGTTGATAACATTTTTTTAAATCATTGTTTTTTTTAGGAATTTACTACAAAAATGGCTGCATCTGACAGACATGAGAATGAGCCTTCCAATAGGCAAAAGTCCAGCCAAGGTGAAGAAGATATGATAAGCAACCTACCCGACGATATCATTGCTCATATTCTTTCTTTTCTTCCCATGAAAGATGCAATCCGTACTAGTGTTTTAGCACAGAGATGGATATACATGTGGACATATCTCACAGACCTATGTTTTGGAGATAAAGCTACAATTTATTCTCAAGATAAGATAAACAAAACTACTTTTATCAACTTTGTATACACGATGCTTCTTCATCTCAATACTTTAAACATCAATAAATTTTCTCTTTCTCTTTCTGAGAAATATGACCCCTACATTATCAATAACTGGATATCTTTTGCTTTAAATCGAAAAGTAAAAGAGATTAGTGTCCGTTCCATTCAAGAATGCAACATTTCATGTTATCCCATTTTCAAATGCCAGTCCTTGCAGAATTTGGTGCTGAATATGAATCATTCTACCATCCAATTTCCGTCTTTCGTTTGTCTTTCATCCCTTACTGTCCTGAGTTTGGTTGCAATGAAAATTACATGTTGCTCCTCCGATCAGTCCAAAAAGTTAAAACTTAAATTCCCAGTTCTTAGAGAGTATACCTCATTTGATTGCATTTGGTTAGGTGTAAAGCATGTTACTATAGAAGCGCCTTTACTTGAAAAGGTTAACATATTTCGTCATTGGTATACGACGTTCAATATGTCACAGGCTGTAATTGAGATTCGTGCTTCCTATATTACAAATTATAGTTATATGAGTTATATATCATCAGAGACCATTTTGCTAGATGTTGCACATGTTGCTGAAGCTTCCATTTGTCTAACGAATTCAAAGGTCCAGATGAGCGAGCAACAAATGAAGATCTGTGTTCTCAAACTTTTCAATCTTAAGAATTTGAAATGTTTACGACTAATTTATGTATGATTTCTTGCTTCAACTTTTAAGTTAATTTTGATAAGAAGAAATTGTTTCTCCTGATGTGATAGATAAAAGTCTCTAGTGGTTGAAAAACTTTCACATATTATATGTTTATGAATTAAGCTAATTCTTCATTTCATTTACTTTATCTTATAGAAGGTTTCTTAATATATTTTCTTAACACTAACACATTTTTCCTTTTGTTTTCCAGGGTCTTGAATCAATGAAATATTATTTAGCTGATATTCCTGCAGTTCGAATGCTGGGTTACCTGCATATACATTGCTCTGTTTCCATTGAAATTTTGTTAGCCTTACTTTTAAAATCACCATGTCTGGAGACTCTAGTTTTAAAGGTTCGTGATTGATAATACCTTTAAATTTTACAAAACCCAACTACGATAATCTCTTTTAGTGAAAGGAAAAGAAGTGAAAATAAGATATCTAATTGTTTTAATTATTTCTAGTTGAAATATATAAAATCCAAAAATTGTGTTAATGTTTTTGTTATTGAAGATATGAATGAACATAATACTTATTTGAGCTTTTTTTCATTCTCTTTATATTACCTTGTTATGTAACATTAACATGTTATGTTCTTTATTTCATCAGGCAATAGATTCTTACACAGAACTGCCGAGTTTTTCAATCGTACCCGAATGTTTTCTATCTACTCTTAAAGTGGTAAGATTTAAAGATTTTGGTGGCGGTGAGCCTGAGTTTAGTTTTGCTAAATTTGTTATGGAAAAATGCCAGGTTTTGGAGAGTATTAGTTTCTCATGCTATAAGCTGAGTGAGGCAGAAATTGAAAAGGTTAAGGAGAAAACATTCTTATTTAAGAGAAGTTTTAATATAGAATTTTCAGCTCATTCTGTAACATGAGTTATTTAAGAGTGTGAGGAATACATTTTTCATATTTATAGTTGAATGTATTTTCAAAACAATTATTATTTATAATATTATTGCATATTATTATATGTTGTTGGGTTTGAATTACTCTGTTGGTTTTTCAACAAATGATTGTTTTCCACTTCCTGTCACACTGGCTCTCCCAATTTGTTAACCCTATTTCTCCATTGGCAGAAAAAGCTTCTTTTCTTTTTCACTCTAGTCAGTTCCCATCCCGATTGCAACCAACAATACATTATCTCCCTTTGATGTTTCAAAAATCAACTTGTGATTAATTTAGTCAGAATCATATTCATCCATTACGAATACGAGAGCACGTGTTTATGGATGAACCAAACATGTTTATTGAATTCAACAAAACCTTTGAAAAACTTAATTAGGTATTCATACATTTCAGGATCGATTGGTTCTGAATTAGGTATTTTTGTCCTTATGTTCTTGTTTATATTTGAGTTTATTTATAATGTTTTTATTTATTTTTTCTTTAGCTTGATTAATCATACAATGATTGCTGTCTAAAATACGTGGGAAACATCCATTTGGACAGTGCACTTATTTAGAATGGTTCCTATCAGAATTTTAGTGGAATATTAAGCTCCCTCAAATGAATTTGCAATTATACAATACACTGATTTTAGTGGAATATTAAGCTCCCTCAAATGAATTTGTAATGTTTAATATATAATACTAATACAAAATATTTACCTTGACAGGACAGTTACTTTGTACCACCTTTCTTTCTTAAAAACACACAAGTACCTTCATTGTAATTCTTTAATCATGTATAGTATGTCTGACTGAATTTCAATCTTAGCACCCCTCGAGCCGAATCTAAGTGAAGAATAAAGAGAAGCTTGCCTAGCAGGTCAGTACGTCGATCTCAAAAACATAGGTTTCAGCTACCTATCAAGAGTAAGTTCAAAAATTTGATGTAGAGCATGTGCCTCTAAAGACGATGAGATTAACTAAATGGATCTTGGGACTGTTGACAATCCTCTCCCTGTATTTCTAAGTGCAAGATTTTCAAATGAAAGAGATTTGACCTTACATGGATCTACTCAGGGATTTTTTTGATGTTTTTGCTTGGAGCTATGCTGAATTGGACTAGATCGAAACATAAATGAATTAGGTCAAATGTTTTTCATAACGAAGCTAACATATCAGACAATGAAAAAATGAGAGTATAGTTTTTGAGAGTTGTCATATCCTAAATTTGTCGGTCTTTATTTCTACAGCTAAATTTGTTTTTATAATATTATTTAATTTTTACAAATATTCGCTTTCAAACCTATTTAAAAATATAATGATTTATTTCTGATCATTTCTATTTTTGAATAAATAAATATTTACGTATTTTTCATATACTTTCAATTGAGTTTATTTATGAATGAGTAACATAACACAATTGGTAAAAAATGAAGCCCCAAGCATAAGGGCGTGGATTTGAATCTCTTGTGGAGCACTCTTAATATTTTTTTTATTTCTTTTCGTTACTAATTTTCTTTCCTTTTTTGAATTAACTTAATTACTAAGTATTCTTAACCTAATTCTAAGCCTATAAATAGGACGTTAGTTTACCCTAATTTTCTATTCAGAATTCACACACAATTCACCAAGAATTCACACAAGCACACAATTGATCCAGAATTTCTTACAACTTCCCTCACATTCACTATATTATTTGCAATTTTTCCTTTTCAATACTATTAGTCATGTTCTATTATTAGGGCTGAAAATTTTTATACTAGGTCTCCATCCTACTTTCAGTTTTATCTCCCACCATTTTATTTTCAATTGTTTTTTTTCTCTTAATTGATTAAACCAAGTGATGATAATTCCTTATGGTTGTTTATTTTTAAAATTTTATTTTATTATCAGGCCAATTTTCTACTCACATGTGCATTCACTAACATATATTTTCCATATACAAATTAACCTCATTTTTGAGTAAAAAACTGTTTTCTTCTTGTTGAAAGGTCAAGCTTTTTTTTTCCAATACGCACTCTTAACAAAAAAAAATCCACCAGAGAACTGCACATAATTTACAACATCAAAACTCTCTAAAACCAATTTGAACCGTGTTCCTGTTATAAAAACCAGCCACAAATCCACAACTTTAACTACCACTGTATAATTTGGAACAACAACACTCTCTTGAATAAGCTAAAACTATAAGTTGTGCTCTTAAAGGTACAAAAGGGAATCCGCCCCTGAGAGTTGTTGTTATATTTTTTACAATTTCCTTATTTATTTACTTGGTTATACTTTTAGATTAGGTTTGATATTAGGGTTTTATGGGCTTTGTGCTTTAATTTTGATCTAATTACACCAACTTATCCTTTCTACACTCTCAGTTTATTATTGGTTTTTTTATTAATTTTAGTTTTATTTATTTTAGTTTTAGTTTTATAATTAGTTTAACTAATTTAGTTTATTCCGATCTTATAAAAAATAACAAAGAAAGACCTATTTTATTTAGTTTTAATTTAGTCATTAAGTTTTAACATTAAATTAGTTTACTCTCATATTAGTATAAAATTATAAAAAGAAAATGTAAGTCTTTTTTCAAGGAAATTCAATTCATAAATATATAATTCCAAAAAAAAATTGTTTCGAAATTTATTCAAATATTATATAAAAAATAGGATGTCCATCTCTGAGTAATTAAATTGATCGACACATCGTCTATCGATTTATTATTTAAAATTAAATAATTAAAATTCACGCAATTCACCAAATTCACCGTCCGCGAGCGACACGTAGTCAATATCTAACCACGTGAGGAGGAGTCTATATCAGACTTCTCAGCTCTACGTCTTAATATAGCTAACCAACAATTCAAATCTTTTTTACTAACATAACAAAAATTATAAGATTTTTCGAAAAAGGATTAAGGAGAATTACTCTCGAAATTAACTGCGAAATACGTCTTAACTGCGAAATGCGTCTACGATCACTCAACTTACAATTCAGACAAGATTCAAAGTTAATTCGAAAGAAATTCTACGTAATCCTATAAAAAATACCAACCAACCCTGAACTATGAAATGAGATTCTGATTCCTCCTAAGAGGATACATAGGCATACAATTAAAATCGTGGCGAGTCCCCCTGATTAAAATTAAACTCCTTTTTCCCCTAATAAATAATTAAAACCCTATTTCCTAAAAATCACGCTTCTAAATCTAGTATCCTTGTGAACAAGGTAGACGAGGGGTTCCTAACACCTTCCCTTCGTCTAGAATCGAGTCCGACAACCTAGAATCTCTAACTTTTATGGTTATTCCTTTATATTCACTTCCTTAGTGTAATACTGTGGGAGAACTGACTTTGGTGTTTTGCGTTTTATTGTAATTGTTGCATGTGATCGGTGGATCTGGAACTGACTGTTTAACGCTGGTTCGCGAAATGTCGCGGAAGCAAGAGTCGCCACCGTCTTTTATTTTCTCCAAATGGAAAGGACAAAAGCACAGAAAAATTCCTTATAGAGATTGCTCTCGGTTCGGGAGGTAGATTATAGAAAGGGAAGGTGTTAGCACCCTTTCTATCCATGGTTATCCATGGGCTCTTAGATACTTGCTCACTTGTGTTTTCAAAAATGGTTTGTTTGCTTTTCAACTGTGGGTTTTAAAAAGTTTCTTTGAAAATTTCAGTTCGACTCTTGTATCGGTCCTCAAGAGTGTTTGAAAAATGCTTTCGAAAGCTTTTTGAAAATGTGTTGGTGTGAAAAATATTTTTGATTTGTTTTTGAAATTATAGCAAGTATCTAGAGTCGTCTACCTACCCTAAGGAATTCGTCTGTGTAGATGTCCTTTAAAGTAGTGCCATCCCACCATTGAGAGGTAGGTAGCACCACCGTTGGAGGTGTTCGGGTCAATTCGAGGTTTGGGACATAGTGATCACCAGAGCAATGGGAAGACACCTTAGAAGCTACCCTCATGCCAGGTTCCCGGATCATGAGGACTTACTAAGACATCCTCTACTCGACGATCACCTTTCGAGGCAAGGCAACAGTGAGGCGTACCCTAGGGGTGGTGTGTGATTTGTGTGTCATGTTCAGTTATTTTATCTTGTTCATGTCAAAGTGATCTATGCGTTTGTTTTTATTTTGTGTCCGTTCATTCTTGCATGCATTTATTTAACAGTCAAAAAAGTGCGGAAAGGTAAAATTCTAAACTATTACAAAGGCGCGGGTCCACATCGCCAAATTTAATCCAGGACCCGATTTGACAGAAAATAAAGAAAAGTGCGAAAAATTAAATTTACACGGCTTTGGGAGAATTACATCAATATTATAAAAAATAAAATAAAATGCGCGAATTGGAATTAGAATTGGAAGCGAGGGCGTTGGACCCTTTAAAGAAATTAAATGAAATTAAAAAGCTAATTAATTATTTAATAAAAGGAAAGAAATGTTTTTTAGTTTTTTGTATTTATGAAATAAAGAAAATTAAAATTAAAAGAAACTCTAATTCTAAGTTTTTTTTAATTATTAATGAAAATGTTATAGTTTAACCTAATTTACTAAATATTTAATGTATATGTTTATTTACAAAAATATTTAATAATTAATAACAATAATAATAAGAAAAAATTATTTATTAAAAAGATGATGAAAAGTTAAAAACCCTAATTTCTACATATTTTAATTTGTTAAGAAAAAGACTTAAGTTTTAAAACCTAATTTAACTAAATTAATTATTTAACATTTATTTACAAAAATAATAATAGTGAAATTAATATTAATAAAATAAACATTTTTTGATTTTTCTGTATTTTATATTTATTATGAAAATTATTTTATGGAATTAAAAGAAAACAATTAAAAAAACAATTAAAAGAATAAAAAGGAAACACAAATAAAAATTAAAAATTGAGCAAACCATAGGGGGTGTCTGGCCCAAGGGGAGGTTTTTTGAAGTATTGACTCCTGAGTACAGTGGTCTGCATTCTTTGGCCATTGGATTGAGTTTC